AAGGCCTCGGCGCCATAGATCTTGGCGCCGAGCTGTTACCCTATAGCTCTTGGCGTTTTAAATGAAACAAGTATAATTGTTCCGAAGAACATGTAACAATGCCATTGCGGTTCAGCTGATTAGGACGCGTGCGACTTAACTTAAAGGCCTGAGTTCAAATCTCAGCGCTAAATCTTTTTGTGCTACATTTTTTGTTAAGACTCATACTGTATGTTTGATGTTTTTTTACCTGCAATGACACTGAATGGTTTCTTTTTTTTTTTTTTTTTTTTTGCTTGCATCTCTTTTTTTGCTTGCCCTCCTCTTTTAATTTTGGGCCGTAATCGAGTCGCGATCTGTGTCGTCCTGCTTGTCAAAAAGCAGTTAGGGGCCGGAGCATACATACTGGGAACATGAATGCCTAACTCCAACTCTACTCTGATGATGAAATGAAACCACGCATCATCAGCTAGCGTTTATGTTGCGTGTTGTTCCGCCACTAACCTCTCCGGTCTCCCCTCGATCGATCGAGCACCCCCACCATTTTGCAGTGTCACGGCACGGGTCATCTCTCCGGAAATTATTTAAAGCTTGTACTCCTCAGGGAATCTCAGTCCTTGCGTGACGTGACGACGGTAGCCGTATTTCCAGATGCCCCGGTCCCTCCCATTATTGATGTGTCACCGCCTCACCGGACGAAGACGTCCCTAACAAACAAAACTCCGTGCGTACAGTAATCCGGATGAAGACGAAGAAACGGTGTCAAATCGATCAGTAGCTATCCAGTAATCCGGGGAAGTCATCAGCTTCGAGCGTGGCTACTGTTGGTCTACTGCTCGATCGATCGCCTCAGAGCAGCGAGTCATCAGTGGATATATAGATGGAGCTTGACAGCAACTACTCCCTCTTGCATTTGGTTGGTGGCATGAGCGGCGCCGGCTTAGTGGCTCATGGAAAATCTTGGCGCCGTGTCCACACACACCACACGGTGCCAGCGCCATGGATGGCGTCGCGCGGCGGGAGATAAAACACAGATAAAAATCATATCCGGAGGCAACTATTCAGTGTCATTACAGGTAAAAAAAAAAGCATCAAACATACAGTATGAGTCTTAACAAAAATATAGCAAATTAAAGATTTAGCGCTAGGGTTCGAACCCAAGCCCCTTTGAGCTACGTTGCACGCGTCCTAACCAGTTGAACCACAGTAGTGTTGTTGCATGTTCTTCAGAACAATTATACTTGTTTTATTTCAAACGCCAAGAGTTATAGCGTAACAGCTCGGCGCCAAGATCTACGGCACCGAGGCCTTGTCCATGTCGGTGTCAGGTCACCGCCACATCCGACGCCTCGACAAGACCTCAGCGCCAGACATGTTTCCTCGACACCAAAAGCCATGGCGCCGAGGTCAGGGTCCATAAACGAAAATCAAACCATTAGGGGTCTATTTGTAAATATTTTTCAAAAAAAAGGCTGAAAAATAAAAAATTCGGACGGTCACAGTGTTCCCCGTCTGGACTCTTTGATCTTTTCAGTGAGTTACTTGGTGGTGGTTTATCGCTTGCCGACGTATAAAACGCAGGTGCTATTGGCAGCAACACTGCTCTTGTTCACTACTGCATAAACACTACCATCAGGATGCTCTATTGCTCTCTGATATCTCTCCTCCAAATTGGTTCATGAACATATATGTTCATGCTGTGTCTATAACTAGCAGACATGAGCATGAGGAGACACTTCATCTTTCAATCCAAATCATCCATGTACGCCTTGCAACTAGGGACGCACAATATTTCTTCAACTGGGAGCTTTGTCCAGCCATGTTCACCTTTTCACTGAAGGATGGACGGACAGGAACCTGCAGAAAATCCCATGATCTCCTTTTAACGTTCGAGGAACCGATTATCGCCACCACTTGAGGAAATGAAATGTCCATGCTGCGGAGCAATACCTAAGTGGGGTATCAACATTGCTCTATCACTGTCAGGATCGCAGCTTCATGGCTGCAACTGCAATTCTACGGAAAGAAAACATAGCAGTTCTCTACTACCGATCATCGGTCATCGGTGTTACTTATCGGCCTACCGATCGTCCCTTTTGGCAAGAGATCTCGTCCCGTCCGGTTCCGAACCGTGCAAAAGCGTACGGCACCGTTTTTCTCCCACTGTTTTTCGTGTGCGTTCGTTATTTCGCCATTAACTCGTCACAGAAGAACGTAGCACGGCTGGTTGTCGCGTGTTTTACTGCCGGCGGCGTACAGTACAGCTCCGATCCTGCACACCTTTTATTTCACTGGCCTTTTCTTGAATATGAACACTGGGACGTGGCACACACACGTACGTACTCGTGCCACCATCTCTCGTCCAGCAGTGCACGACGTGGGAGGGAAAGGCTGTCCCGTTGCTTTGCAGAATTGCAGTTTTCGCAAGGAACGCACTCACTCCCGTCAGCCGTCAGGCATCGCAGTAGCAAAGGGCACGCCAATGTATTATTTCTTCCTTTTTAAAACTTTTTTTTGTTTGTTATTAGTGTAATAGTGTTCGTACTGATGATGTGTAGCCTCATCATACTAATCCAAATTGGAAACCGTACTGGCCTTTTAATCTCGCCGTACTGATCCGAATTAGAAGTAAACCGGTTGGTTTTGAGTAGTACGTACCCGGTTGGTATATAAAAGCCAACACCGCCGGGCTCGAATAGTTTCCAGCACATACTACTCTGTCGCTTGGAAGCACTGTTGTTGCTTTTCCTTTTTATGTACCGGGATGGTGATTTGCCACTGAAGCACTGTTGTAAGAATAACACAACCACACGCAAATGTTGTTGGAAAATGGTAGGGTACTATTCTCGTTTCTATAATAAGCAACAGCTATATGCATTGGTCAATACAGAAGCTGAGATATTAATATATTCCCTTTTCTAAAAAAGGGTATTATTCTCATTTTGGGATTAGCCAAATGCTAAGGGATATTAAACTTTTTACCCTTTTGCAGCCGACGCTCTAAAAATCACTATTAGAATGACACCTATACTTTTACCACCGGTAAGAAAATTCTCGCTAATTTTACCAACATGGCGAGACACGACAGCCTGCTGGGCCACACAAAAAGACTGAGATGACCCACCCTTCACCCCATCCATTTCTTCCTCCTCCGTTATCCTCCTCTTCTTCGCCTTGCCCTGCCAGCAAGGGGTATGATTAGTATGCGGTATTGATCAAGAGTTTTTTTTTTGAGCCTGGTATTGATCAACAGTTGAGGGAATAAAATATTTGGTTTGGTGGTAGAGGCTTAGACGGAGAACTGGAGATGAAATGGACTAAGTCATTAGTTAAGGGGTTAAATGGACTGTTCTTTTGGGTAATATGGGCTGTCTTATTTGGTGCTCACGGAACTCAAAGTTTGGTCTATAAATCATGAGCCTTTCTTATTCTATGACGCGTGCAGCTTCTATGGGCCTTTACAACCTGTAAGCACCGTAACATAGAGCATGATTTAAAAAAAGTCTGAAACTAATTTCATATTTTTCTGAGCTAAAACAAATTTTATATGAATTTTCTATGATTAAACTAGGTTTTAGGATTTCTTCAATTATATAATTTTTACGTGTAAAAATATATCTGGTAATTTTATATATTTTTTATAATTTTAAGACATTTTCTAAAAAATATTTCTAGTTTATTTTACCTCTTGAACTTTCAACATAGTTCGATTTATCCCCTCTGATGTGGTGCCACATCAGCAAAACCATCATCAAAAGCGCCAAGGTGCAAAAGTGCATGGTTTTCTATGACAACATGTGGACCCCTTATTCTCTATGAATTTTCTAATATTAAACTGGGTTTTAGGATTTTTAATTGTTTTTTTCTATGTAAAAATATATTTGGACAACTTTTATTTTTTTAATATTTTTTAGATATTTTTTATAAATAATATTTCTAGTTGAATTTACCTCCTCGAACTTTGAACTTAGTTCAATTTACCCCCTCTGACGTGGTCGCCACGTGAGCATCAAAACCGCTAGGGTGCAAAAGTGCATGGTTTTCAAAAGTTGTGTGTGCATGGGGAGGGGTAAAAACTGGTTTCGTAGATCAGGGTGGAAAATGGGACGAGCGTGATAGTTTAGGAAGGTAAATTGGACTTCTTTCCAAGTTCTTATCTCATGGGGTCCACATGCTACCAGACTTGTTGGCGGGTGAGCCCATAGAGAGCACATCTGACCGGGCACGGCAGGGCCGCCCCAAACACTGCACGGCTCGCTCAGGTCTTGTCTTGGCTCGATGCATAGAGCCATGTCTGAGGCCACTTCGAGCACATGGGGCGCCCTAGCTTTGGCTCAGTAAATGGCCGAGACCCGGTGAGAAAGCCCAGCAGCAGCCAGCAGCCTCAACACCCCAAAGACCTCTCCCTAAAAAAGCGCCGCCTGCTCACGCAACGTCTCCTCCCCGCACCCAGGCACCGCATCCGCGCTCTGCTCCTCGCCTCCTCCCCGCTCTCGCTCGCGGATCTGAGGCCGCCACCGCCGACCGTGCCCCGTGCCCCGTCCGCTCCGCCGCGCAAGGGTAGCCAGCGGTCTCACTCCCGGATGCCATCACCGCCTCCGCGTCTTCCTCCACACGTTGCGCTTCCCGACGGCCGATGCCGTCGCCTCGAGCGCAACCGCGGTCCGCAAGACAGTGCGACAGCGCCTGGACCTCGTCCTCTCTCCCTTCCTCTGCTGAAGTGAGCCCGGCCCGGCCTGGCCTGCTAGATTGGACGTACTTTTTGGGCTGTCCCAGCACGAAAAACAGTCCGTAGGCCCAGGCCTAGCCCGGCCGGGCGGTCCGAATGCTCATTCAGGTGAGCCAATCACCTAGCCGCCCAAGTTGACGCCGCCCATCGCTGCGCTTCTGCGGCCACGGGCACGCTACCCCAAGTCCTCAACGGACTCTCCCCAAGCACCCCACTGAACGTGTCAAGTTTGCTCTCCTCTCTGCGTGCGCGCTCCACCGCCGCCGCCCACCCGCGCCGCAAGTTCGACGAAATGGGGCAGTGGGACGCTCTGGTGGATGCCGCGCTCGCGACGCTGGAGGCCAGGAGCCTGCTGCGCGCCACGCGACCCATCGCGCTCGCGCCGCCCCCCGCAACCCAACAGACCTTCGACGGGCCGGGGCCCTGGGACCGTGCCGCCGTCGAAATCCGGCTCGACCGCGACACCCTGCAGCAATGGCTGGCCGAAGGTCAGCGCCAATCAAATCTCTCCCCTCTGTGGCGCATGCCAAACTCGTAGTCACTGTGTTCTCCTCTTTGTAAGATTTGGTTAGGTGGTGAGGCGAGTGGACATGAAGAGGAGTTGGATGGAAATCTGATCCTTTTCTCAGGGAATGACTATATGGGCCTCAGCTCGCATCCTGCAGTCCGTGAGGCTTTAGTGCAGGTGTGCCAATTCTGTACACTGCTTGATATATATATCAATTATTTTGAATTAATGACCTAGTTGGTGCTTGCTAGGCAGTTCGAGATTATGGCATGGGGCCAAGAGGCTCGGCGTTGATCTGTGGGTATACTAGTTATCACAAGTTGGTGGAGGAATCATTGGCAGAATTGAAGAAAAAAGAGGTACCAATTGATGTCTTCAAATTGAAATTTTTGCATAAGCATCATCATTTCTTCAGCTTTGGATCCTTACTGTGTAGTGGTTCTGCAGGATTGCCTTCTTTGCCCTACTGGGTTTTCTGCCAACATGGCTGTAATGACAGCCCTGGGAAGTGTTAGCTCTCTTTTGTCCCGTGGGAGAAAACCTGCAGAGCATGAGAGAATTGCGATCTTCTCAGATGCGCTGAACCATGCTTCAATCATTGATGGGATTCGGCTTTTGGAGCGGCAGCAAGAAGCGATAGTGTTTGTCTACAAGCACTGTGACATGTTCCATCTTGATTTCCTGCTGTATGTTTCTTCTTCACTTTGCAGTAATATTCATTGTATTCACACTACTTGAATTAGCTTTAACTATATTTTTATAACCTCTGCAGGTCCAGTTGCTCAATGGAAAAGAAAGTTGTTGTCACAGATAGGCAAGTCATCACTGACCAAGTGTTGGTGTTTCTGTTAATGTTGATGACTAGAGATTGCTTGTATATGCATGTTGTTACTTTATTATAGGCTAATAATATGAGAACCTCTTTGCATTTATAATAAAGTGCAGCCTGTTCAGCATGGATGGTGATTTCGCTCCATTACCTGAACTTGTCAAATTACGCAGAAAGTATGGGTTTCTATTGGTCATCGATGATGTTAGTATTTTATCTCCTCTCAAATAAGTTTTTGCAGATCTTTGTATTGATTGAGTTCTGTTCGCATTTTCTTTTGTCAAGGCTCATGGGACACTTGTTTGTGGTGAGAATGGTGGTGGTGCAGCTGAGCTGTTTGAATGTGAAAAGGACATTGACATAGGTGTCGGCACCTTAAGCAAGGCCGCTGGCTGCCAGGGTGGTTTTATAACATGCAGGTAATATACTCTTTGAAACAATCATATTTCCTTTCTAGTGAAATCTGTTTATGAATCATGATGAATATTAAACAAAGCAGATGGAGCATATCTGTCTAAAAAGTATGTGAGACATGTTTTTTTTTTTGGAACAGGAAGGGCCAATGCCTTTACTGGATTGTGAGACATGTTTGACTGCATATATTTGAATGGGATAACATGCTCATCAGAGATGAGTGTGAGAATTAGGTTTACATGTTTCTGCAAACTCTCTGAGTTAATGTAGTGCTGAGTGCTGACTTCATTGAACATTCAACATGTTTCCATTCTGAGAACTTGCTGATGTCAGCTAACCGGAAGAATTTCTAGTGCTCAACTTCTCAGTTGGTTATCACAAGTTTCAACCATGGACTCTCATGCTTATAAGTTATTTATTTATAAAGAAGCTTTTCAGTTTGTTATCAGTAATCACAAGTTGAGTATAAGAATAAGAATATCAGTAGACAACACTTCCAGATTCTGAGATTCATCACTAAAAGCTTGCAATCTGTTGTGCAGCACTAGATGGAAGAGGCTTATTCAGTCACGAGGTCGCTCGTTCATATTTTCAACTGCTTTGCCGGTGCCAGTTGTTGCTTCTGTGCATGGTAATTCATGACTTAACAACCCCTGTGCTAGTTCTTCTAGAAATGAATATTTATTTCAACAATATGTTGAGCTGACAAGTGACATCCAATATCCATTAATTAACATTATCTCCCGTTATATACAAGGAAAAAATGTACATGCTGTTTTTGCTTTCAAATTAGCCTGTGTGAATGAGGACTTAAATATACTAATATAGCAGTAGCAGGGGACGTTTTCTAAATAGTGTTATTGATTTCAGCGGCACTCTATGTCTCAAGGAAGGAGGGATGGCGGAGATCAGTGATCTGGAGGCATGTGCAGTATTTTGCTTCGTTGACCAATCTCGAGATAACTAGTCCCATAATTTCCATTGTGGTTGGAAGTGAAGAAGCAGCGCTCAGGGCTGGCAGGTGCCCTTTCTCCCTGTTTCCTTAGTTTGCTTTGTCGATAACCTCGTTGCTTCGCGTACTAATATTTCGCTTCTAACACTTCAGGTATTTGCTAAGATCTGGATTTCATGTTACACCAATCCGACCACCCACGGTGCCACCCAACTCATGCAGGTTCCGGCTCATCTTCCCACTTACTGTTGTTCCATCATTCAGTCCTTCATGAACTTGTATACAGAATTCCTGCTAGAACTTGCTGTACATAAAAAGTCTCTTCTTCAATTCTCCAATACTGTGAGCGAAGATAAACTTATCTTGGACCTCTTGGCAGGCTGAGAATCACTCTTAGCGCTTCCCATTCCTCGGAGGACATCAAAAGGCTGGTTGATGCACTCACACCCTGGCTCCCTGTCAAACATTGTGAGGGGAGCTACGCTGCAGCGTCAAAACTCTAAGCGGTAACCCATGTGAGAGTTAGGGAAGTGGCACTAGCTGAGATCCTGCTATACTATATTATATGGGAAGAGGCGGCAAGCTGGTGCTGGTTGGCGCGACTAATGTACGCATTCATTATGTATGTATCACGCAGAATTTTTGTGGTGCCGTGACGCCTACGTCCTTCACCACTTATAAGCAATACTGTCTTGGTAGTCAGATATCGTTGTTGAAATAGCCGTTGTTTTAGCTCCACAATGGGAACTAGAAGCTGTTCAAAATACCCAGGCCTATTGATTTGGCCGTGCCAGGCAAGCATAACTCTGAAACTTAGCAAGGCACTGTTACGACATTGCCAACATTTCTTAACACAAAGGGTTCATGGCGAGCACAGCGGGCACATGACGAGCATATAACGGGTACGAGGCGAACTCTGGAACGCACAGACAGACGTATGTACATAGCACAGACACAAACCTCTAACACTCCAATAGTTTATTCGACGAGACAGTTTAGCAAAGCTCTAGTCATGGCATGTAAGTACGTAACATCAGTGTATAGGCTCCAGCTCTGCTCTTACCCCGGCCGGTTTCTGATCTGTAGCCTGTAGGTGGCTGGGATCAGGTGTAGGAGAGCCTGGAGCTGGGGACGTAGATCCTGGCCCAGAGGTGCCTGCCTTTGATCAGGAACTTGGCCGTCTGCCGCCCGTTCAGCACCACTGGGATCATCGCCGCGCTGCGCAGCACCATGCGACCGTACACCGGCAGCTGCCCTGGTGCCACCTTCTCTATCATCACCGTCTCCACGCACGGCCCGTACACCCTGCAATTCACCATCCATGCACAAAATTATCTAGCGCTGTACGTGTATTTATATGATCCTGCACGACCGTGCACTTAGTGATGATGCTTGAACAAAAAAAATCAACTTGGGCTAATTCGAATCATAGTTTCTTTTGCAGAGAGCAAATTTTGTCCAGTGATTGAAAGTTTAAACCACAGCTGAAAGTTTTGGAATCATTTAAAAGTTTTCTCAAAACTTCAAGAGTACATATAACATTAGAGCCTTCAAACTAGGTTTTGTAACTTCCTTTAGATCAGTATATTTTTTGGAAAGTTTTATAAAAATCTAAAAGCTAAATAACTATTGTTGGCCACTCCAAGATCTTTGAAAGTTGCGGTGGACGAACAGTGAAGTTATGGAAACATCTAATAAAAATGTAAAATCTGGATATTTTTCTGGTCTGATTGGAACCCGATTCGACCCGGTGTTTGATCAAATCTGCCCAACCCCCCTTCCATGACTGCTGGTGACTGGAGCCCCCTGACTAAGGATAGCAATAGGTTGGGTGTGGTGCGGGTGGAGCAAATACCCACTTGCAATAACACCCGCAAAATATTGTCACATCCATCGTCGGCACAACCTACGAGTGCAATTTTGCACCTACGCCCGCGCCCGTGGGTTTTGGGCACCCATGGGTGCGTTAATCTCACAAGTAATATATCACCACGATCACATTAATAACTATAGAAAGTTGAAAACAAGCAAAGTAATAACTATAGAAAGTTGAAAACAAGCAAAGTTTGTCATCTATATATAGCAACATCTAGTCATCTACCACATAGGTATCATATAATTATACAAGTTTTTAAAATAGACTAAAAATTTAATACTCAGGTGCCAAATATGTTCTTAACAACTAGACATGGATAATTACTTACTTCCCTGTTCGAAATTATAAGATGTTTTGGCTTTTTTAATTCATAACTTTTACTATACACTTAGATATACGTTATGTCTAGATACATTGTAAAAGCAATGTATCTAAAAAGGCAAAAATATAAAGTAATCTGCTGCTCTCCCATGTTTGAACGCGCGGCAGGGGTAGGCGCCGAAAGGCTCCTCTGCCGCACTGTAGCCACAGCAGGAGCAGATGCCAAAGGGCCTGTTCGCTTGTCTGAATTCTTCTGGAGAAATCTGGATGGTTTGGAGGAATGCTGGAGGAATTTGTGAGAGAAAAACACTGTTTCGGATAAAAAAAAAGCTGATCAAGCCGAATTTAAGGGCACGTGAACGGGGCCAAAGTCAACCCTGCTGTCACATCTAGTCACTGTAGCAGCATGGCAGCCTGTCATGTCTGTGTACTCGGATTAGATGGATAGGGTTGTATTTAGGATTAAGTCCATTTTTGGCCCCTCAACTATTGTGTTGGTCTAATATTAACCCTCAACTACAAAACCATCTAGTATCAGTACCCCAACTGTAAAAACCGTTCACTTTTAGCACCTGGACACGGGTGAGGCTATTTTGTCCAACGTGGAGCGGTTTTGACACGCAACCTCTATCTCAGTGACATGTGGGGCCCACACGTCATCGACTCAACCCCTCCTTCTCCATCCTCATGGCCACTCCCCCGACGCGTCCTCTCTCCGCGCGCGGTGAGGCGGGCGCTGCTCCCTCCGACGCGGTGGCGCTGGCCTCCACTCGTCTCGCGGGCGCGGGCGCTGACCCTCGCGCGGCAAGCGGTCCCGGCGCGAGCGACGTGGCGGTGCTGGCCTCCACTCCTCTCAGCAGTCCGGGGCCATCGTGGTGTTGTGTCGTCGCCGTGCTGGTGTTGCGCCCGAGCTGTGCCGAGCAGTGCCGCTACCGCGCGATGCTGCTATCGAAGACGCCGTTTGTACCATGGCCGGTTGCCGGCGAGCCATGGCCGTGAGAATGCACTTGACGCTCAGCCCTACGAGCACGACGACGAGGAAGGCGGCCGCGGTACCGACCGCGGCAGCACATGTGCGGTCCGCGAGGAAGCTGTGCCACCCGGTGCTCGCTCGCCTCCACGGCACCGTCCGCGCTCAGGGCATGGTGCGGCGCCGGCGGAGCCTCCGTCTCCTCGGGCCACGACCTCGCGCTCTTGGACGCCGTCCTGGCCACACTCGGCGACCTGCTGGCCACACCGCAGGCCACGGCGGCCCTCCATGACGTCGACGCCGATGACGACCAGGTCCTCGATGGCTTCCTTGTGTGCACGCACAGGCGGACCGAGAAGGAGCTGCACCGCCTTGCCGCCGCGATGCAGCACGCCTCGACCTCGAGGCGCGTGGCGCCGGTGCCTAGCTCAGCGGATGCCGCGGACACTGAAGTGGTCGGCGCAGTGGTGGAGGCGGGCGTGGCCGCGACGGAGGCCTCAACGATCGTCTTCTCTGGGTGCGCGGCCTTGTCCCTGAACATGTCGGCCATGGTACAAACGACGTCTTCGGCTTCGCACAGGCATGGCTGGTTGCCGGTGAGCCATGGCCGTGAGGATGGAGAGGGAGGGATTGAGTAGATGACGCGTGGGCCCCACATGTCACTGAGATAGAGGTTTGCGTGTCAAAACCGCTCAATGTTGGTGAAAACAGCCTTGCCCCCGCCCAGGTGCTAAAAGGGAACGGTTTTGATAGTTGGGCTACCGGTACTAGACGGTTTTGTAGTTGATGGTTAAAATTATACTGACACAATAGTTGAGGGGGAAAAGTGGACTTAATCCTTGTATTTATAGCTTCCCACTACAACTCAATAAAGAGAGCGAGTTCAGTTTTGCCATCTCCTTTGCAGAGCTCCGGCCCACACTGGTGCTTGTGTTGTGTGTGTGCGCGCTCTGTTCTCCCTCCCTTCTTCTACCTTTAGCCATAGTGTGTGGTCGGTAACGCCGGTGAGCGGTTGGCTCACCCGTGCGGGAGATCCCAGGGCCAACAAGTGGTATCGGAGTCGTACAAGTGCCGTCGCCGGACTAACCGCTGGCGATGACGGATGGTTTGGAGATGAGCGACAGCAGGGGCGCTGTTGTGGCTGCCCAGCCATGAAAGGAGGTCATCGTGCGCACGGTGTGGGAGGTCAGCGACACTAGTTGGCCGACGCTGACTCGCACCAACTATGGCGAGTGGGCGATGACCATGAAGGTCAAGCTCAGAGCCCGACGGCTCTAGAATGCCATTGACAAGGGCACCGACAATGAAGAAGATGACATGTCAGCATTGGAGGCTATCCTCGCTGCTGTGCCAGCAGAGTACAGGGAGCCATTAGGGTAGAAGAACTCTGCTAAGAAGGCGTGGGAGACCATTGCAGCCATGCGCATCGGCTCCGACCGCGCAAAGAAGGCAACGGCCTAGCTGTTGAAGCAGGAGTACGCCACCCTCAAGTTCAAGGATGTTGAGTCGGTGGAGGACTTCTCTCTCCACCTGCAGTCGCTCATCAGCAAGCTGAGGAGCCATGGCATCACCATCAATGAAGAAGAGGCTGTCTCCAAGTACCTCTACTCTGTGCCAGTGAAGTACATCCAGATCGCTCTCTCCATAGAGATGATGCTGGACTATCCACCCTCACCATTGAGGATGTGACAGGCCATCTGCGGGAGGTGGACGATCGCATGGAGTAGTCCACAACAACAACGGACAGCGACAAGCTGCTGCTGACAGAGGAGGAGTGGGTTGCTCGGATGAAGAAGTCCAGGGAAGCCTCCTCCAGCCGCGGTGACGATGGCAAGCACCATGGCAAGGCTTCTTCGGAGAAGAAGAAGAAGAAGGTCGACCCCAACGCCTGCCGACGCTATGGAAAGATGGGCCATTGGGCAAAGGAGTGCCCAAATCGCAAGCAGGAGAAGAAGGCTGAGGCTCATTTAGCGCAGGCTGATGAGGATGATGAGGCCACTCTTCTGATGGCGACATTCTGTGCACTGCACGACATTGAGGTGAAGGAGAAGGGAGAGGTGATGGCGGTGGAAGGGCACAGCAAGGCTCGGAAGGTTGTCAACCTCGACGAACTACGCGCCCAAGTCCACCTCAGACGTGTGGGTGGCGAACAGGAGAAGCGGTGGTACCTGGACTCCGATGCCAACGACCACATGACGGGTTCCAAGGAAGCCTTCTCTGAGCTCAACGGCAACGTGACCGGCACGGTGAAGTTTGGTGACGGCTCAAGGGTGACGATCTGAGGGCGCGACAACATCATCTTTAGGTGCCAAAATGGTGAGCACCGCACGCTGATGGATGTGTACTACATCCCATAGCTGCGTTCAAACATCGTCAGCATCGGGCAGCTGGACGATCATGAATGCAAGGTACTGATCGAGAGCGGGATCCTAAAGATTTGGGATCGGGAGCGGCGTCTTCTCACGAAGGTAAAATGCTCACGTAATCGATTGTACCTGCTCGACTTGAAGGTGGAGCAGCCTGTGTGCCAGGAAGCATGGCACACCGAGGAGCCGTGGCTGTGGCATGCCCGGTTCGGCCATCTCAGCTTTGACGCGCTTGGTCGGCTGGAGAAGATGGTCTGAGGGCTGCCCCACATCAAGCACGTTGGCGAGCTATGTGATAGCTGCTTGGCCAGGAAGTAGAGGAGTCTGTCGTTCCCAAAGGCAGCCAAGTATCACATGGCAGAAGCTCTCGAGCTCATCCACGGTGATCTCTGTGGGCCAATCACGCCAGCCACAAACGGTGGTCGGCGGTATTTCCTCCTGCTCATGGATAATTGCAGTCGCTATATGTGGCTGCAACTCCTGACGAGCAAGGACGAGGCGGCGGAGGCGATCAAGAAGTTCAAGGCACGCGCGGAGGCGGAGAGCGGCAAGAAGCTACGCATGCTGCGGACTATGCGGATTAGGGTGTGGTGCGACACCACACCATGCCGTACTTGCCACAGCAGAATGACATGGTGGAGCGGCGGAACCAGCCGGTGGTCAGCATGGCTCGATCCATGATGAAGGCCAAGAGCATGCCGACAAAGTTCTGGGGTGAGGCGATGACCATGGCGGTGTTCATTCTCAACCACGCGCCCACCAAGGCCCTAAAGGACAAGACGCTGTTCGAAGCTTGGTATGGGCGCAAGCCGAGCGTATCATTCCTCTAGACATTCAGCTGCATCGGCCACATCAGGAAGACGAAGTCGGTTCTCACCAAGCCAGAGGACAGGAGCACACCGATGGTGCTCCTAGGCTACGAGGAAGGTACCAAGGCGTACTGGCTCTATGACCCACACGGAGGCAAGGTGGTTGTCTCGCACGATGTCGTGTTCGTTGAGAAGGCGGCCTAGGACTGGGATAGTCTAGGCATGGGGGAGGCTGGCGGCTTCATCAACACTTTCATCGTCGAGCACTTGGTCATCCACGGTGGTGGAGACGCTGGAGAGGGGGTGCCGACCACTCCAGCAACAGAGCCGAGCACTCTTGGGGCGGTGCCGAGCACTTCGGGAGGGGTGCAGAGCATTCAGGGAGGGATGCCGAGCACTCTGGAAGGGGTGCCGAGAGGTCCTGCAGTGGTGCCGACCACTCCAGGATGGGTGTCGAACGCTCCCGTAGCGGACCCGAGAGGTCTTGCAGTGGTGCCAACCACTCCAAGACTAGTGTCGAGCACTCCTACAGTGGTGCCAACCACTCTAGGAGTGGTGACGAGCGGTCTAGGAGTAGTGCCGAGCACTCCATGTGTTGTGCCGACCACTCCGGTGGGACAGGGGACTCCATCGACGTCGATCGAGTTCGCCTCACCTCCAAGCGACATCACAGAGTTCGTGGAAGCTTTCGACGACAGTGAGGAGGTATTGTTCCGTAGGATGGACGACATCATCGGTGGCACAAGGTCCTCAGGCCTGGCGGTTCAGCTGCTTAATGACCCAGAGCTGCTTCTCGTCAGGGCAGAGAAACCACCCACGTTCGCGCTGACCGAGCGTGATGCAGATTGGCGACGGGCGATGCTGGAGGTGATGAAGGTGATTGAGGAAAACAAGACTTGGGAGCTCGTCGATCCACCTCCAGGATGCCATCCGATCGGTCTGAAGTGGGTGTACAAGGTCAAGCAGGACGAGCGCGATGCCATTGTCAAGCATAAGGCGCGCCTCGTCACCTGAGGCTTTGTCCAGCGCGAGGGCATCAACTTTGAGGAAGTCTTTGCGCCGGTAGAGCGCATGGAGTCTATTCGACTGCTGCTGGCTTTGGCAGCAGCGAAGGACTGGCACGTCCATCACCTAGACATAAAATCAGCCTTCCTCAACGGTGAGCTGGCGGAGACGGTCTTCGTTAGGCAACCTCTAGGTTTTGCCATCAAGGGAGTAGAGCACAGGGTGCTCTGACTGCGCAAGGCGCTCTACGGGCTATGGCAGGCCCCGTGAGCGTGGAATGCCAAGCTTGACGCCACGCTAGGCGAGCTTGGGTTTACGCGGTGCACGACCGAGCACGCGCTCTACATGCGGCGACGGGGGAAGGAGGAGCTCGTCATCAGCGTGTATGTGGATGACTTGATCATCACCGGCGCGAGTGCGGAGGACATCGATAGCTTCAAGCGTGAGATAGCGGCTCGTTTTTGAATGAGCGATCTCGGCGCGCTCTCCTACTACCTCGTCATCGAGGTAAGACAGGGGAAGGAGGCGCTCACACTCGGTCAGAGCGCGTACGCCTCGAAGCTATTGGAGAAGAACGGCATGGCTGAGTGCAAGCCATGCTTGACTCTAATGGAGGAGCGGCTGAAGCTGACGAAGCCCAGTACCGCGGCGAACGTAGATGCAACACTCTACCGGAGCATCATCGGCGGTCTGCACTACCTAGACCACACGAGGCCGGACATTGTGTTCGTCGTGGGCTACGTCAGCAGCTTCATGGAGGATCCCCGAGAGGATCACTGGGCCGTGGTGAAGCGGCTGCTGCGCTACGTCAAGGGGCTGGTGGATCAGGTGATCGTCTTCCCCAAGACCGGCGGAAGTGGGCTACAGCTCACTGTGTTTAGCGATGCAAACATGGTGGGGGACATCGACGGACGGCGGAGCACCTCTGTCGTGCTCGTCTTCCTCGGGTCGGCTCCAATCTCATGGTTGTCGCTGAAACAGAAGGTGGTGGCGCTGTCCATGTGCGAGGCATAGTACGTGGCGGCGGTCACAGTGGCGTGCCAAGCTGTTTGGCTGCGTCGGCTGCTGGGTGAGCTGTCCGGTGTGAAATCTCACCCACCAGCACTGATGGTGGACAACCAGCCCACCATCGCCCTCGTGAAGAATCCGGTTTTCCACGACCGGAGCAAGCACATCGATATCAAGTTCCACTTACTCAGGGACTGTGTTGGAGGGACTGTGTCGATGGAGGGCAGATCGTCATCGAGTTTGTCGAAACTGGTCGGCAACTCGCGGACGTCCTCACTAAGCCGCTCGGCCGTCTTCGGTTCACGGAGCTGAAGAAGATGATCGACATGGTGGAGGTTCTAGGGTTAGCAGTAGGATTATGAGAAGAATTGTAAAGTAATCTGCTGCTCTCCCATGTCTGAACGCGCGGTAGGGGCAGGCGCTAAAAGAGCTCCCTGCTGCTGCACTATACCCGCGGCAGGGGCAGGCGCTGAAAGGCTCCCCTGCCGCATTGTAGCCACAGCAGGGGTAGGCACCAAAGTCAGACCTGCTGTCACATCTAGTCACTGTAGCAGTATGGGCAGCTTGACATGTCTGTATAGGATTAGATGGGTAGAGTTGCATTTATAGATTCCCACTGTAACTCAGTAAAGCGAGCGAGTTTAGTTTTGCCATCTCATCTGCAGAGCTCCGGCCCACGCTGGTGCTTGTGTTATGTGTGTGTTCTGTTCTCCCTCCCTTCTTCTATCTCTAGCCATAGTGTGTGGTCGGCAACGTCGGTGAGCGATCGGCTCACCCGTACGAAAGATCCCGGGTCCAACAAAAAAATCTTATAATTTAAAACAGAGAGGAGTACATAGAATGCTCCTTGTATTTGGAACCTTGATAGTCACCCTACAGGTACGATTTGACACTCATATCCGACCTTAGCGCGTGTTTAGTTGGCGGGAAATTTGGAATTTGGCTACTGTAACACTTTCGTTTTTATTTGATAATTAGTGTTCAATCATGGACTAATTAGGCTCAAAACGTTCGTCTGGCAATTTCTAATCAAACTGTGCATTTAGTTTTTTTTTTCGTCTACATTTAATGCTACATGCACGTATCGTAAGATTCGATGTGATAACTACTGTAGCACTTTTTGAAAATTTGGGTGAAAACTAAACACACGCTTAGCTTCTTTCATTTCAGGACCGATCCGACGAGACCTGTGGGTACGATTTGGCATCCAAGCCTGCAGTACCCTAGCGGGTGCGGCATCCGCAGGCACTCGTACCCTCGGATTCAACTACCATCCCTACCCCTGACTACACATAAGGGAGTAACTAGGGGAGCGAAGGTAACCACACACACGATCTACAAATAGAGAGAAAAGAAGCGGACTTACGAGTTGAAGAACTCCATGATGTCCTCCCTGTTAATGGGGTAGCCTCTGGAGAAGGTGATAAATAGGGAGCGGTAATCGTCTGCCGGGGGGCTCTGCAAAGGGATCCACGGCGATGCCATCGGGTTTAGTGGAAAGGATGCCACCGTCGGGGCGGTCAGCACGGAGGAGCCAACCATCGGCGGTGCAGCAAGCACACCGCTTGTGTTAGTGGGGACACTTTTGCTGCTGACATCACAAACGGTGAGGCATACGCTCCTGTACTGGTAGGTGACGCCATCCAAGACCTCGCGGTGCCCTTCGAAGTAGCCCACGTCGTCTATGCGCTTGGTCAAGAGCACGTTTGTGCAGGGTAGGCACCTCTCGCGGCCGTCGCCGCCGTCGCCGGTGCCGGCCGCAGGCCCGTGGCCCTGGCGGGCGAGGCAGCGAAGGCACGCGATAGCCTCGTCGACGAACCGCAGCACAACAGGTCCTGGCAGCGCGGAGACGCGGCGGATGAAGTCGTGGTGGCCGTTGGACTCGAGCCAGAGCCAGAACGCGATCACCCATCGCATGGGCACCGGGTCCTGGGCGAGGTCGTGCACTAGACGATGGAACAGGTCGCTCTCCAGCTTGTGGAAGAGGATCAACTTCTCCATGGTGGTCAGGCTGGCCATGGCGACTGTCGACAAAGCTCCCCGGCCGCTCTGCAAACAACAACGCCACGGCACGGGACCACGCCTCAATAGACAAGTCACTAGACAAAGGGGAAGGGCATGCAACCCAGGTGATGAAGAAACAGAGGAGCCACTTCGGCCACTGAGAGAAAAGCAAGCATTAATCCAAGGGGGTTGTTGCTTGATGGTGGCTACAAGACAACACAGTGCACACGAGGGAGCATGCATGGCGCTGTGGACACACGTCACTGTATCTAGCCGCACCATGCCTCACATGGAAAGCCTTAACACTACTAACCATCTCGCATTTTATGGAGGCATTTGTGCATCAGTTTCTCTTTTCTTTTGGCAATACTTGGGTTAGATGCATATATATATATATAAGTTTTTATTTACCTTCAAGTTTGTTTTATCTTTTTATATTTGGAATATTTGAGTTAGGTACATATAAATCACTTTGGCTCCTTGCAAAAGAACTTTTATCGGATGTTCACGTTGTTGGTGAAGAGACTAATATCCTTGTGAGGATCACCCATCCAATAACCATAATGAGTCACGTGAAATGATCGATAATCTAATGAGTTATAGAAGAGGAATAATGATGGTAGACTTAACTGAACTAGCATAATATTATTAATTCCACCGCACCTCTAATCCTCTATCACCTTGTTTTCAGTTCTTGCATGGTTTTGAACGTTCCTCCATGGCTCCATCACGTACGTATAGTGGTGCCTTTTAGCGATGATCTTGTCTTGTTTGTCGACGCATTTATGTTTACCATTGTGAATTGACATAGGCAATTTTCACAAAATTGCGGTCCCTCTCTCACGCTGTTCAGTCTAGATGATCTCCAACGGGTCATAGTGTCTAACAAGCAGGTTGTTCAAGCATGGGAAGTCCTTTACGCCAGCGGGACTGCCCTCAAGCGGCAAAAGGCACATCCTCAATCGCAAGCGCGATGGAGAGCTGGATCGGAGGTTGCCAAGAACATGATCTATCTCATCCTTTGGCTGCAGATGATGATCATGGGTGTAAAGGTTGACGACATGGTGATCATAGCTCCTGGTACTTTAAGCGCACCTATCAACCCACTTATATATTAAGTGACTTATTTGTGACTTATTTATTTCTCATAACGTTTCTAGGTTCTTATGCATAAGTTGGCTATAAACTTACAACCTACCTTCTTTTTCTCTCCTATTATAAGCTAGACTTAGTATCGCCAGACACGACTAGTTTTAACTTATATGAGTACGGGTCGTAAATCTAGATCACATATAGGATATGGTGGGCGCGAGGGCAGTTTAGGAAGTAAAAAAAGCAGGACGAAAAAAAGTGGGTTGGAACAAACACTTCACCCTTTAATATTAGATGAAGATAGAGATAGAGATAGAGACACAAATAGAGATATAAATAGAGATAGAAATAAAGATAGAGATAGAGATGAGATTAGTAGATATAGATAGAGATATCTCGGACACATCGCAACATGTATTCAACGACAACCAGAATGTGATGCTGTGCTAGTTTGAAGACAATGTCGACTTGTTCTTGATCCCCCAATCCTAAGCGGTTAGCCTGCGAACCCACGTACAGACTTAATTTTGTGGGTTTCTTGCAATAACCCATAATTTTTTTAAGCCTATGTATAGGTTTACGGACAGACCGCTTGCATCCCTAGATGGCGCTATCGGTCACCGTCATGAGGAGGATGATGTGCCCGCAGACTCTGACGGCATCCGTCTCGTTCGTCACAAAACATTGCGAACTAGTACTTGAACAAAATGTGTGAGAACTTACCTAGGCAGGAATGCATCTGTGATCTGTCTTATGACCTATCTACAACATTTACATCTCTGGTCGCTGGGACCAATTTCATGTGCACGATTTGTGCATGGTTCTATGGTTCGGACGTTGCATCGAGCGCATCGAAACGGAGCGCCCGCTCGCGGGCCAAGTGTCGAGGCACTGCAGCGTCATTGTGTTGTATTCGTGAGTGCGGGTCGGAGTTGAGGGATGAGAAAATGTTCAAGGAAACCACCACCGCACCGCGGCAATCTTTGGGGTCAACGTACGACCACGACATGTGGATGCAGCTCTAGATGGCTCCGTTCTAAGCTCATTGTGCCATTGCTAATAAGTCCGGATGATCTATGCATCCCTGTACATCCATATGATTGATAGTGGCTAATCTGTTTCCTAATAAACCGATCATCATAGCTGTTGTTGTATCTGACATACTAATTATAGTTGGGTAGCATCGTCGTTGTGTCTGGAATGATAGTTTATAGTTCATCTGGAGCTGTGCAAGCTAGACATTCAAAGGTTTGCTTCTATTCGTTTCTTGATTGAAAGCATCTGTTGGCCATCCTGTTGCTGTGAAGATCTAAGTAGGGGTCGTGTGTAATAAGATCCAGAAACAATCATTTAATGGTGGTCTGCACACTGTCCATGGCAATGCCCCTCATACAATAACTGCAGAGTAGTTGTGCACGACGTGACTAACTCGATGGGCAACAAATCACTAGACAAGGATCAAAGAAGAGCAAGCAACCTAGACGAAAAATAATACAAAAAACACTCCCCCCATTGAGAGCAAAGCAAGCATGAATCCAAGGAGGTTGTTGTTTGCTGGTGACCACATGACAACAGAGTGCACACGAGGGAGCATGTATGACACTATGGGCATACGTCAGTGTACCAAGCCACATCGTGCCTCAGATGAAAAGTCTCAAAGCTACTAACCACCTCAGTGGCTTTTGGAGCTTTGTGCTACAGTTTCTTTATTTTCGAACTACTTGGGTTAGGTGCACATATATTCACATGTTTTTACCTTCAAGGTTCCTTATCTTTTTGTTTGGACATATATGAGTTAGGTACATATAATTCTAACTCTGGCTCCTCGAGAAAGAACTTTTATAAGAGGTTCAAGTTGTTGAATGAAGAGACCATCCTTGTAACTCATAAGGATCATCCGATGCAATTACCATGGTGAGGGATGTGGATTGATCTATAGGCTGATGAGATGTAAGAGAGGAACAACATAGACCTAATAAAACTAGCACCATGTAGGTCATGGCAAATTATACTACTTCCATCTTCACATTTTAATTTGAATATCCTTTATGCATGCCTAGATCTTGTGAACCACTAGTATGTTGTTATAGTTTTAGAATAACTACATGCATGAATATAATACTATTTTTTCTTATATAATTAAAAGAAGGTGACTGTGGAGGTATGTCCCCCGGTACTTACAAAACAAGACATGGGCCACGCCCCAAAGGTGGCCTAGCCCACAAGATCAAAGCGTGCACTGTAAGACTACATGAAGATGTGATTTATTGTATAATACCAAATAAGATATTTCCCTTGTAACACTACCCCTCCAGAGTATAGAAGGAGAGGCAGGAGTCCCCTAGACGATATATCGAATCTGATACACAATCAATACAAAATAACAGAGTCCAGGACGTAGGGTTTTACATCACATTGACGGCCTGAACCTGTATAAATCTTGTGTCTTGTTTCTCTGTTACCATCCAGTTCCTGATCGTGCGCACTCCCAACGATCATTTACTACCATGGGTATACCCCTCGGTAGACTGCCGACCATATTTCGTCGACAGTGGCGGGCCAGGTAGGGTCTGTGCATGCAGATTCTGTGGCGAACCAGATGAGAATCTTTTCTTCAACCAACGTCACCGGCAATTCAACATTCGGCGGCAACTCGATGCTGGCACGCAGTGGATCACTTTCCTCGGCGAACGGCCACACGTGCTGGAGTCCGACGCCTTGCCATGCGCCTCCACCAGATGCAACACACGACAACAAGATCGGAGTCAAGCAATCCAAGAAAGCTAAGTCAAGTCGCTTCCTAATTAAATATTGTTATTATACTTCCAGATATATCTGTATGTCTACATGATTTCGGTTGGGAGAAACCTAATCGCATCTTGTTGTTGCTCGTGATTTCTGATCGAATACGCAAGATCGTTTCTGTGGATCACAACAACCAGCAATCAGGAAAGGCGGCCGACGATAACGCGATGTGGAGCAGTGTTTCCACCAAAAATGCTGGTCGGCCATACAAGCTAATTGGAGTAGTTGAAGAGATATACAAGCACATATGCATCTGGATCTACACCACCATGCAGGCAACCTCATGTATCTCAGGCATGCAAGGAAGATCTTGGACTGCGCCCTCGCCTCGGTCGGACACGCTCAAGGACTTCGCCTCCCCACGCGGATTGACTCCGTCAGGCTTCAATTACGTCCGTTCGCCTATGACTCCGCGTACCCGTCCGAACTGTCAAACGAACCGTCCGAGCCATCAAGCGAGCCGCTAAGCGAGCCGGCCGAACTACTCGTTCTGATCGCCTACCGCATCCCAATGATAGCCACGAAGAACGGCGTTATAACGACCGCGATCACCGCCATGACGACAGGTTGGAAAGCTCGAGGGCCGAAGCAATTTCATCGATGCCGACCAGATAACGTCATATGCCACCGATCAGATATTATGTCTAAAGATAAGTACCTTTTTATATATGAATATTTAATAAAGTTTTCGCCATGATGTTTCTTCATACTATTCTCTACATGATTATTCTCCAAACGACTTTTCTCCATGTATACTATTTTAAAGATGACATACGCTTTCGCCTCAATAGCTACCCGAACAGCCACGTTTACGCTTGTGCTCTCCAGAGACGGCCATGTCTCTGGCTTCTCCCTACACGTGCATGAGCGTCTGTCCTCTGCGTTATGGGTGGTCGGCAGTAGCTCCTTGGTGATGACTATATTCCTAAGCGTGCACAGGAGCTAAGCTCTTTACGCCATGGGGTGTGGGATAGCCGGGGCTGGGGGCTCAACCAATAAACTAATGGCTCAGGGCAGTTTATATTAAATATAAACACATCTCCAAAAGAAAACTTAATGTTTACAATATATTTAAGATATTCTTCATCAACTCGCCGACCAGCCGCATTCTCACTTGT